TCTCTCTCTCTCTCTCTCTCTTCTCTCTCTCTCTCTCTCTCTCTCTCTCTCTGAAAAGTTGGAAAATGTATATTCTTGTGTAGGTGGGGCTATTCGCGGTACAGCGGCTTGCGGCTTGCGGCTTGTGCCGGCTCAGTCTTCGACGTTCGGTCTCGCTTTTGGCCTCGTTTCTTCTGGATCCGCGAAATGAGCGAGGTTTGTATTGGCTGATAAACTGGCAATGTGATGTCGTTTAACGAATGTGTTTTATTTCCGGAAATAAAGAGATCTCGAGTCGAGAATTTGAAAGTAATCCTAACCGATAAACATAGTTAATGTATCAAACATAAAAGAGACTTGATCTCAAGAGACTTGGAATAAATGTCTGTCAAGCCGTTTCCCGTATACTTGTAAAACTTTACTTGTAATTTTCATCGCGTATATTACTATAAAATTTTCAATTTCAACATTTGCAAGGAACTGTCAAGTTGTAGCCTATTGCGTACTACATGTGCGTAACGATAGATTAAATAGATATAAATAGATACGAATAAATTGCAGTATTTTGTGAGTGATATAAATAGCGGATTGCGAGTGTGGTGTGTATTTATTGGTCCAAGATAAAGAAATGTTGGATGACGATGAATTATAGAAACGGAAATTTATCAAATTTTAAACACGTCATTTGCGCCGTATGCGCAGCTGTCGATCGAAATTTCTCTGAAAAGTGAACAATTCTTTACAAGGCCAAAGCAAAGCGGTCGCGAATGAAATCATTACGTTTTACATAAATTACTACGATGATATTTATATTTCAATGTCAGCCATGTCGGAAAAAGAAGTTTAAACGCAGTATAGTTGTATGGATTTTAAATCATCGATCGGAATGAGGAGGCACGTCTACCTATCATTCTATCGGTCTATCACCGCTTACGCGGATGTCCTCGGACCATCTCGGACATGTTAGCACGCCGTCACGCGTCACGCGTCACGCGCGTTTAAAAGTATTTCAAGTGTTTCGAGTGTTTCGCAGATAAGACGAAGAGATTCCTCCAGAGATTCGACTCGAGACATTTTCGACACTTTCGATATTACGATGTAGATCGCGATACTAGGCGAAATGATTTTATGACGAAAAACAGAAATTCAGAAATCTACATTTTTATATCCATATCTTTATATTTCGCTTCGCGCGGAACGTGAAACATCGTCAAACGTCTAACGTCGGATAGCGGTCGCGATCGCGGTCGCGCTCGCGCTCGCGCTCGCGGGCGAGGGTGAGGCGAGGGCGAGGGCGAGTCGAGCGAGACGACGATTCTCGAATCTCTCTCTCTCTCTCTCTCTCTCGGATCTCAGCCGACGATCGTTTCCCCAACGAAATTTGGCGGGAAGTAAGAAAGGGGCGAGGAAACGATCGTCCAACGATGAAATGTAATTTCGAAGATGCGGGAGGGTGACTGCGTGTTTCCTGGGACGAGAAGATCGATAGAGAATACATGCGCGCCTGTCGGCACGTCGCGACGCGCACGCCGAGTTTTCTACTCCTCTACGCCTATACGCAATCCGCGCGCGCGTTGCATACGTCCGCTCTTGGATTTGTGCTTTGCTTTTTTTCCCCGAGTTACGAAAGCGGAAATCGACGAAATCGTGGTGTCATCGCTCGCGGACTCATCGCGATCCACCGAGCACCGTCGAATCGAACCGAACCGAACTTGGTGAGCGGTCGCGGTGAGCTTCTTCCTCGCGAGCTCGAGAGAGAGATCTCTCTCGGTCTCTCGGTCACCGTTCATCTCGCTCCGTGACAGCAACGGAATTAACGTGCATCTACGCGCACCCCGCTGACCTAAAAACTTGAACGGGGAACGTCGCATCGTTATTTCTCCCCTCGTAGTTAACGGGTTAACAAGCTAACAGGTCTGGTGAGTCGATTCTTTCGATCGGGCCCCGAGCTAGATAGAGATAACATAGCTACGGTATTATTTGCGATCAAAATTATTCAAATAAACACAAACGCACGTCGAACACAACAATGGAGGGATGCGACAATAGGAGGGGAACACCTTTGACACCTAACGCCTCGTCTGATCGCGAGGAGGATATCACTCAATCGGTACCACATTGACATACACCGATGACGCTAATTGCGTTAACGTGTGCGACACTCGTAATCTCTATTTATAGGCGTGAAATAACGTTATGCCCGCGGCAGCGGAAGAGTTTCTCACACACTATCTCTTATTATTTTGACACACATTTACGCGCACATCTCCAACATTTTTTATTTTACACACGTCTGTTAAATATTCACAATTTGTTTCGCAACCTTTACTTCTCCGTGTTTTAGACTTGAACGAATTTAGAAACTAGAATTATTCTAGAGAAACTACATTATTAATACTTATGAGATTTTAATATATAAAATGTTTACAAAAATATATAATAAAATATATATAAATATATATAAAATATATAAAATTAGTATGTGATACAAGTGAATAACTCGAGAGACAATTTGAGGCGATCGAATTTTGTATTAATATTTATTGTGCGCTATTATTTGCATTATTGTTTATTGTGCACTAGTCTTGAATTTGCGTTCGTAATTTACAATTAACAAATGTCATTTTGATTAAGTAACAAAACGAGATTTTTTTGCATATCCTGTGTACTTGTATATAATAATCTCTGTTTGTAATTTTTATCGGCAATTACATATAGCATTAAGATTGTAAAATAGAGTAACAATTAAATATAAAATCTGTACAGATAATTCGATCCGTTGTACCATGTCATACAAGTCATACAAGAGACCTAAGAAAATATAATAATAAGGCATTAGTCGCGCCTCGTCTTCGTTATTATCGATTCGTCAACGAATCTGGAGAAACTTTTAATCGATCTTGCAGATAAATAGCTGCGGATAAATATTAGATAAATAGCCGATGCCACAGATATCACTGAAAGAAATTTAATCTAGACGCGGCAAAATTTTATCATGAGAGCTTTAGCGATAAATATTACCAAAAGCTATCATGTATCGCTAATCGCTAGTACTACACCGCTCGATGAGACTTGTGTATTTCGATCGTGATGTCATCGTTCAGTAATACTACACGCTACTAAGCTCGAAAGAACTCGTGTATAATGAATGAGAGCGCAACAGTTGGCAATGAACTATTTGTTGGGCATCGATTACATTGTTATTGTCCGGTGACAGACAAAAGACGAATAACGTATATCTTTACGTACGAGTAAAAACTTGCCTCTCTTAAAGAAAGAAAATAGCTATATATGACCTGTGAAAAACTGCAAGTAATAAAAAATAATCTCTTTTCAACTATTTACCATCCTATCGATTATCGTATCATCAAAATATTTGTAGTAGATGTTGCGTTTGTGCTGTGACAATTTTTATTAATTTCGATCGAGTAAATGCCAACTATGTTTGTTTCAGTGATTACAATGCAAGCGGAGAAGGGCGATACCGACGCTGAAAAAAATGAGATTCCCAACGACGTCACGGCTTCGGTTACGAACGAGGTAACAAATTTGAAGATGGAAGATGATACAACGAGTTCGACACCGAGTAGTCCTGGTAGTACTGAACCCGGCAGTTTTTTAGCGAGTTTTAAAGCATTCTCCAAATTCGGCGATCCAAAGAGCGATGGCAAACTGATTACGTTAAGTCAAAGTGACAAATGGATGAAGCAAGCCAAGGTAATAGATGGAAAGAAAATTACTACCACAGACACGGGAATTTACTTTAAGAAGCACAAGTATGTATGTTTTTTAATACTTAATACTTAAGTAAAGATTCTTCTCTCAATAAACTTGACTGTCTGGGATATTCATTTTCACATTTCTCTATCTCTTTTTATCGATAACAGGTCTACAAAGCTTGGTATTGAACAGTACAAAATATTTCTCGAAGAATTGACCAAAAGTAAAAAAGTGGAATTAGCGGAAATAAAAAAGAAAATGTCCAATTGTGGGCCACCTGGGGTTACCGCTGGCGTTAGCGGAGTACGTGCATATCAAATTTATTATTTATTCAGTTTTATCGTTAATTTCATTTATTTGTGTGTTTATACGATGGTACAGCTTATCGCGTGATTCATCGTCTAATACATGGATGTCAACGATGTCTTGTCACGCATTTTGCGTATATAATCTCATTATGATTTACAGGCTGGAAAAGCAGCGTCGACGGTTGACAGACTTACCGATGTCAGTAAATATACCGGCTCTCACAAACAGCGTTTCGATGAGACAGGAAAAGGTAAAGGCATAGCAGGTCGCAAAGATATACCAGACACATCCGGATACGTTCAAGGCTATCAAAATAAAGATACGTATAAGGCACAGTAGTACTCATATGGATGCTCCAATAATAAAGATCTGTAAGATCGTGTCTAATTATAATGCGCAATATGCACATTCAAATTGCCGCTACTCAGGCCGTTTTCTTTACTGTGTCGTCAGCGATCTAACGGATTTCAATTTTGAATGTCGATTTGACGAAAATTTATCATCTTGGATCTTATGTATTAAGATGGCAATATCATAATTAAGGACTTTGGAATGTTAATGATATAACATTTGCGACAATCCTTAAGAAACTTTTAGTTTTATAAAAGTATCGTTGCACTTTCCATACAAGCTTTCTGAAAAAATTTCTTGAAAAAAGTAAGAAAAATTTTCCCCGAAAACTCGTTTATTTTTTGAATAATATTTATGTGTAATACGTAATATTTTCACTATTTTTTTGTACAATCTTGTTGATTCTTCTTAGGTGATACGAATATTACTCTTTCCAATATCTTTATTTTATTAATGAAATCTTTTTTCACGGTAATAGCAGTTGTATGATATAACCAAGTATATATAGTACACTATATACTTAAAGTATACGTAGATATTATATAGTATTGCGTTACATAATACTTGTTGCATAATTTATTAAAAATAAATCTTCTGAAATTTGTATCATTAAAAGAAAAATGATTACGATAAATTTCATTACAACCACTACAGTTGTATAGCATGAATAAAACAAAATTTATCTTATGAATTCAGCACAAATCGTTAATTTTTGAGGTGAATGCTGTATACAATTTTTTGTATATACATATACATATACATATATATATATATATATATATATATATATATATATATATATATATATATATAACAT